TATGTTTGCAGAGTTTTCCCTGTTGCCTATAAAATAACATTAAAGGAAACGTCTCGCTCCATAAATACAACTGTCGAGTGCTCAAGTGACTTACACTTCATCATCATCATCACCAGAACTGTAAAGTGCCCTTTCCATCCAAGACCAGATCAGAATGTACTAGGCATATTCCACATTTTTCTGAGGAACACACTAAGCAGACAGAACCACTAGGTTTTTCATTAACTTTCTTTAAATAGATGATGATGCAGTCATCTCCAGATATGATTTCTGAATCACAAATGTGATGGTTCATTACATGTATCACCTTGACTGAGCTATTGGGTACCCTGATATTTGATAAAATATTATTCTGGGTGTTTTTGTAAGAGCATTTTTGGATAAGAAACATCAATTAGTAGATTAAGGAAAGCAAATTGATCTGTATAATATGGGTGGGCTTCATCCGATCAATTGAAGGCCCAAATAGAATGTAAAGTCTGAGCTTCCTCTAAGAAAATAACACAGAATTGCCCCTGTCTGATGGCCTTTGAACTAATGCACTGATTTTTTTTCTTGCTTTTGTACTCAAAGTGAAGCACTGAGTCTCACTGGACTTGAAGTGTGCTGACCTTTCAACTAGAGCTACATATTCTACTCTCCTGGTTCTTCATCCTTCCTACGTGGACTGAAAATTTTTGACTCTCCTTGGTGTTCAGCTTGCTGATTTACACTGTCAAGGTCCATAATCATGTGAGCAGATCCTTTGTAGCTCCTCTGTATATAGAAACTCACATGCACACAAACACATGCACATGCTATTGCTCCTTTGCAGCAGAGAAACAGAACCTTGAGTAATACAATAATTTTTTCAACAATAAAATTTAATCTACTAAAATCACCAACAAAATACTTCCATGGTTACTTTCAATAAAGGCAGGGACGATTTGGAGCTAGGATCCAAATTCTACGAAGGAAGGTGGGAATAAAAAGTGGTGGGGACAAAATGCATACCCTATGGATTAAATATGGAAGAAGATTGGAATGGTGTCCATACTGCCCTAATTTCAAAATCATGTGGTGTGGAAGAGAATGGCCATTAGGGACATCCTAATTGTCTGAATTGTCTAGGTTTGTGTTCTGCCATCACTCACTTACTGTATTATATTGGAACTATCTCTAAACCTCATGTCCTCGATTGCACATTGAAAACAGTAATGTCTCGCTGTAGCTGTATGTAACCATGGCTGCACAGAGAAAGAAAATGATTACTCTGAGATGAGATTTAGTTCAGGCAATGAATGGACCCAGAGGGGCTGCATCTTGAGCATATGAGAGCCTCAGGGAAACAATAATCAGCTGAGATCTCTGCAGTTATTTATTTATAATTCAAGGATGTAAGAACAAAGACAGAGAAGAGAAGCATTTTGTGACATATTATATAGGGGCTTTGGGGATGGGGCTGGAATGGGGTGGTGTGTTATGTTGACCTAGTTTAGGCAATCTTATCAGGGCAGAGGGGACACCATGGCTAGAACAAACATCTTTGACAGGAACTTGCTCTAAAGTCTGCTGACGGTTTTTCAGCAGCTTCTACTCTAAACTCTAACCATGCATTTTGGAACATGGGAACTGTTGTTCCCCAAGGTCCCTTCCTTAGTCCACTCAGGTTCAGTTGCTCCCTTTGGCCCACGTCTCCCCACATGTACCCAAAGAGCTGTGAGGAATAAGCAGTGCAGCATCCAGTAGCTCCTGGAACATGGAGGAGCTTCATGAATTCTTCATTTACTCTTCATTAACGCGCCTTGATTTCCTTTCCTTTCGCACTTAACAATAAATTCTGGTCAGGCAGTAACCTTGTTTTGAGCATCTTTATATTCCTAGAGATCCTTTCCAGTTATAGTTCTCTAAAAATATGTGTTAGGTAGGGAATAAATAAAACCAGTAAATTAGAGTCATCACATTTTTATTCCCAGCAGAAAATTAACAATGATGGCTTCTGTAAAAGCAGTTCACCAGCATGTCTTCTAAAGGTATTTTGCAAAGTCATGATTTTGTTTTAGATGTTTACACTCCAGGGACTTTAATTAGGCATTCATATATACAGTACAGGGCTAGTACCTATCTACAAGTAATTCCATCCTTTCCCTTTGTAAAAGTTTCCTACATTTCTCTATTTCTCTCATTGTTCTCTTCCTTTGCAGAAATAAGTGCAAGACGATGCCATCTGAGTGGGTTTTATTGTGTTTGAGGGAAAAAAAATTTAAATAATGGCTTAAGATGTGACAACAATTATGTAGGATTACTTCCTATAAATGTAATTGGAAACTACAGATACTTAAAATATAGCTGTGATATGTATTTTGGTGCATAAATCTGCTTATTTTCTAAGAAAATGATTAAAAACATAATTTTAACAATGAGTTTACAAAAAACAATTACAAATTTGTTTTCTAAAGCACATGAAACTTGACTTTGAGTATTTTCTTCCATAATTCCCTTAAGCCATCCAAGTTATATTTAAAGCTACAATGTGACTATTATTTATTGCTCTTTGGTTTGCTATATGGTAAAAAAAATGGATTAATTGTATTCATACAATGTCAATAGACAGAAATATGCTAAGCATTTAAAACTTTTGTTTTAAAAATTTAGATCAAATGTTGGGATGTCTTCCCTTAAAGTTAATAAATAAGTTGTTGTGTCATATATATCATAAATTGTACTCTATGAAATAAATTTAAATTTAGAGTTTCTCATATAATTTTAGGTAGATATATGCCCAGAAAAATATCACCTTAATTTCATTGAAACAGAGTCAATTTATAGAGTTGTAGTACAGATCAAAACTAATCTAGTACAACTGAGATATGCAAAGAAAACATAGTGTCCTTGTTTCCTTAATCCTAGAAACTCAATTTCTTCCCAATTAATCCACCTCTGGTAAGTAAGCAGTCCTTCAAACTTGTTTGCCTCTCTACAAATATGTTATATGGTGTACTTGGGCACTGAGGCAACTCCACAGTGGCAAGAGTTACAGATCATCTTGGTTATCTTTCATCATGGAGTTCTGTCTGGTTCCTGCTGTGACATTATTGCCTAATTCCTGAAACAGTATCTGTTGAAATGGAACTAGACTTATCTGTCTTTCTGAGCATAATGCTGGCTTTCATTGTTGAAGTCAATGACAGGAAGCCAATTCTCTCTGATCTTGAGTTCTTTTGGGTTCTCTCTGTGCTCTTTCTCTCCTCCCCCAGCCTCCATGCTATCTACCTCACCCTCTTCTATGGTTTCTTCCCCTTGCTTATTGTACCCTGACCACACTGCCCTCCTTGAATTTCCTTGAGTGCAATCAGTTCCTATCTCAGATCTTTGTACTATTGTTTCTTCTGGAAGTCATGGCTTGCTTGGTTGCTTATTGTCCTGGAATCTTTGTTCCAATGCCACCATCTCTGTGACACAGTCTTTGATCATCTTATTTAAAACTAAGCATCACAGCAGATCTCTCACCTTTCCTTGCCTTATTTACTTCCCAGCCACTTACCATCATTCAATATAACCTATGCTTTGTTTACCTTTTTTAAATGTCTAGCTCTCTCCTGGACAACGTGTCTTCACTGTAGAGACGAGTACTTAGAAATAGTACAAAGGACTCAGAATTAATGTAATATTTGCATCATGACCTTGGGGTTGAATCAAGTACACCAGTTCCTAAAGTAAGGTTGAACTATGAATGGCACAATAAATAATAAGACTCTGAGTAGGATGGAACAGCTCTTCCCCATGCATTCATGCCTTGCACCTTTGGATTTCAATATTCTTCCCTTCCCAGTCTCTATTGGCTTTCATTGAACATTCCAAGTGTGCTAACAAATGACAAATATGTCTCTTTTGTGTGTCAAAAACATACTGGGTACCTACTAGAATTTTTGTCTTAGTAAAGATAACAAAAACTGCTGTAATAAAAAACACTTTAACCATATAGAAGTTTGTTTCTCACTGAGGTTATTAGTTAAATGTAGTGTGGACAAGTGTATTTTTGTCTCACATGGGGATTTAAGGACATGGGCATTTTCTATCAGTGTCTCCGTTGAGGTAGAAAGGGGGAAAGAAAGTAGAATAGATGTAACAAGTGTGTTACCATTTGCCCACGCATATCACATCTTCTCACCTGCCACTGGCCAGAACTATATCATAGCAGACCTTCAATCAAAGAATCAAGGAGAATGCAGTCTCCATTGGGGCTACTGTTCCTCTGTTACAATTTTCACCCATGTAAGGAAGAGCATGAATCATGTTGGACGATAAACCATAGGCTGTGCAAGCAACCTTACATTCATTGTCTCACTTACTCTCCCAACATCTCCATGAGAGCCTTACGTCAGCATTGCAAAGAAGAAGAGTTTGACACCTAAAAGGGATGAACTGACTTTCACAAGCTTTAGAATATGACCCTATTCATGAGGATTTACATTATAATGCATCATTTATTGAGACACCATGAAATTCATTGATTTAAGTGGTTTTTAATACATTCACAAAGTTGTTACATCACCATGTTCAATATTACTTTTTGTTTGGGTACCGGGAATCAAACTCAGAACCTTAGGCTTGCCAGGTAGGCACTTGTGCTGCTGAGCTATATCCCTGGTGCTCAATTTTACATTTTTATTCCCCTGAACATAAGGGTACTAGCATTTCTTCCCATCTCCTGTCTACCAACTTCCTTCCTAAGAAAACATTAATACACTTTCTGTCTCAGTTGCTTTTCCTGTTCTGGTCATTAATATAAATGGAATCATACAATTTATGGTCTTTGCAGCTGGCTTCTTTTGTTTAACTTGTTTTCAAGGTTCATGCAGGTTGTAGCATATCAGCACTTCATTTCTTTTTATTGCCCAGTAATATCCCACTTTTTGTTTTCTTATTCATCAGGTTACATTTGGACTGTTTCCATTTTGGCAACTAATAATAGTGCCAAACATTTGTGAGCAAGTTACTTCACCATTTCACAATCTTACCAACTGTATATGATGTTTCTGGTTCTCCATATCCTTGCCAACATTTGTTGTTATTTGTCTTTTTTATTATACCGAGATTTTCATTTGGGAAGATGACTGTGCTTCTGAGAAATCCAAGGATTAGATTTATGTTTCATTTCTCCAAGTGAGAAACTAGATTAGGAGAGCTAAGTCTAGGGAAAAAAAAAAAAGAATGAAGTTTGTGTTCTTTCTCCTGGTGCATGCTGCACTAAGCTGCCATCTAGACACCCAGACATGAAATTGTGGCACAAAATAAACACTTGCTCTTCTTGATGTCACCTCATGTTCCCAACTTGTCCTGATCACTCTTGACACTGTAACAAATAATTGTGTGTAGGAAGTTTTGAGCCTTTTATTTTTACCCAGAAATTTTGACCATAAAGACAATTTTAATCCTAGGATGCACTGACCTAAGAATACTTGGACCCCTATGTTTAAGGGTAGAAACCTTTACGTCAGAATTATATGTAAGTAAATTAAATGGAAAACTTTATGTATTAATGAGATTCCCTGTTGCTGGGACACAATGTCTGACATATACAATTTAAAGTAGAGAATGGTTTATCTGGCTCAGTTTCAGAACTTTCATTCCACGGTCAGTGGTTCTATTGCTGTGGGTCTGAAATGAGACAGAACATCATGGCCAAAGGGCATGGCGGAACAACGCTGCTCACTTCATGGTGAGGGGGAAGAAGAAATTAGGAGAAGAATGCCAGAGGAAGGAGCAAAGGACCGGGTATGTCCCCAAGATTTCACTCCCATGGTCTGCTTCCTCCGAGCAGGCCCCACCTCCAGCAGCCCATTCACCTAGGAAGTGATCAGTGAGTGAAGCCACTGACGAGGCTGTGCCCTCACAGCTCAGTACCCCCTCTCTTTATTCGGTCAAACTGACAGTCAGTTGTTAACCCCTCTGCTTTACATAAGCATTTTTACTCATTTGAAAAGCATTTTGGAGCTATTTTCTGGTAAGTGCTTTTTTACTTCACAAAATTTTTTTCCAAGGCAATAAGGCTTCTTTAGCTTTTTCCATTTTGATTTTTAATTTATTGAAATTCATTTCATTGGAATCAATTATTTTCCACATAAGGTTTAAATAAAAATGTTATTCAGTGTTGGGATTTTTTGTTGTTTATATCGAATTTTACTGATCCTGGGTACTTTAATTGCAGACTTACTTTTATGATTATTATCTGTACCAAATCCAATTATTTCAGGTCAAATTATTCACATTAAACTTAGTAAAAAAATAGATTCATTTGTCAATTTTTAGGCAATAATAAACTTTTTATGTGCCAATTTAGCTGCTGGCAGTTTTATTTGGTGTTGATTACTTGTGCCAAATCAAATTTTTCCCCATTAATTATTTACATGTTTCAATATGAGCATCAAGACATAAATAATTCCTCAGATTAACAATTTATTTTATAGTGTACAATTTTAACTATTTTCACTTTATTTTGTGCTAACCATTTCTACCAATAATATTAAATATTATTGAACAAAGAACGAATAGTTTTTTATTTAGAACTAATTCATGAGAAACTAATAACAGTTCCCTTCAGTTACAGCAAGATTACTCTGCATCTGCAATTTCTCTGAGTTCATGATCTAATTCTTCAACATATTTTTTAATCAATTTGTGTATTCTGTACTGACCACCTAGGCACACTAAAAGGGCATGCAAGGGCTTATGACTTATGCATCAGAGGTGTTTGAGGAGAGCAGAACAAGTCCCTCAAGCAAGTCTCAAGTGAAAGGGCAAGGAGAGGAAACCGGCGGGGATGGTAGAATGTGAAGCAAGAGTCCTTGCAGGGTAAGGCAGGACATTGTAAGTTGGCTGATGCCAAAATGAGAGCACTGGTCTCTGGTCCAGATATTTAGCAGAAGGGAAAGAGGGAGAGGCAAGGTATAAAAGCTGTGAGCAGCTGGGTATCAAAATGTGAAGGGAGACTACTTAGTAGGAGGCATTTATTTCTTCTGGATGTCATTATATCAACAAAAATCACCTGAAATAATCAGCACTTTGACCCTTGGTCATTAAAAGTAATTATCATTATTACTATGGTTTCATTTATGGAATAATTATAAAATCCAAAGTATTGTTGTGTGTTGAGTGTAAATTTCATTTAACCTTGACTGCAATGTTATGAAAAATTATGCAGGTACTGGTATAATCCCACTTTAGAGATGAGGAAAGTAAGGCACAGAGGTAAAAGCGTATCTCTAGTCCTCGGGCTGGTAAGAGTCACAGTCAGGATTCCAGCTCAGAGGGTCTGGCTTCATAGTCTATGCTCTAATCTCTGCTTTATACTTCACTCTTTGTCCTTCTGGTCCTCTTCATACCAATACTGCATGATGTGACGGAGCTGCTCTGGAGCATGGGAAGTTCAATGAGACTTCTGTCTGAGGCTTACTGTTTCCTTGGAAAAACTCTGGAAGCAGGGCTCAGGGTCCCACTCCAGAGGATCCTGGCAGAAATTAAATGGCACTTTCCAACTGTGTAATTTAAGGGTGCTTCATGGAGGAACTGTCCACAAAAATTTGGGCAGTTTAGGAAAAACAACAAAGAATCAGATGGGGAGCCATCACCACCCTATTCCTTGCGGGAATGGATGAGCAAAGGAAGTGATTAGAGAACCAAGAAAGTGAGCCTTGTGGAAAAGGTCATCTCAGAGGAGTTATGGCTGTTAGATGAGAAGCAAAGCTAGGAAAACTGATACGTTCCTGAATTACTTTCCCCTTGTGCTCCAAATTGCTTACCAATGGCTGGTACTGGCCAAATCCAACAGAAGAATGGAGGACAAAGGAACTGTTAATGCATCCCATATGGGTCATCCAGCTGGGGCACTAGGCAGGATGAAGAATGGAAAGTGCAGCTAGGAGAAAAAATATCCACCATGAGCTCACCGGTGCTTTTATCCCTCTTCTTCCCTCTCTTCTCCCCACCCCTACACATGGACAGGAAGTTGATAGAGTTAAGGACAGAATCTTTTCTCCAACTCTTGACTATTTTTTGACAACCCATTCAATTGCAAATACTGGACTGCTATGGTTTGGACAGGGCTTGAGTGTATTGCCTAAGGGTGCATGTGTGAACTCTGTGAGGTATTAATCAGATCAAAAGTTAATCCAACTATGCTGTTTAGAGGTTCAGCCTTGAGATACTAAAGCATGGATAAAGTCATCAGGGGGCAGTCCCCGTGATTAAATATTGTTTGCCTTGTGAAGGTGGAGAACTCAGAGAGATACACATGAGTATTCTTTGTCTCTTGCTATGTGATGCCCTGTGCCACTTCAGGGCTCTGCCAGCAAGAAGACTGTCATAAGGCATAAGCCCTTGAATTCTCTTTCTTAATAAACTCTTTTCTTTATAAAAAATTACCCAGGGGTGTCCTTATAGGGACACAAATAGCACTAATTGATGAGGTATCTGTCTTTATTTTATTTTAAAGAGAAAAAAAAAAAACAACAAAAATGACATAGGATTTCAAAACAAAATGATAGAAATTAACAATGGTTGTTATATTACATATTGTTATCTTCAACAAAATTGCTCAGATTACCAGATGTAAGAATGCAAGATTGATCAAACAATTAAAGAGAATAAAAAGTAATAAAGAAGCATTAGAAACAATACAAAGCATCACTAAACAAAATGGCAGGAATTCAACAATGCTTGTTATATTGCATATTGTTATCTCCAAATTGGTTGTTCAGATTACCAGATATAAGCATGAAAATTAGCCAAGAAAAAAATTAAGCATTAACTATTCATTTCAATAAACCAGTAAACATCTGCAGTAAAATTATCCCAGCTATTCTTCTATATGCATATATATTTTCCCCTTCTTTCTTTCTTTTCTCCTTTCCCCTATCCTAGTTGTTCTTTCCCTTTGAGCAATTTCTTTCCCTTTCACAATATCTATAGTGTCTTTAGGGTTTTATTTACTCTTTCAGGTTCTTACACTGGGGGGACAATATGATGTTTACACATCCAGGTCTGATTTATTTCACTTATGATTATGGTCTCTAGTTGCATCCATTTACTTATAAAAGCCTCAAGTGTATCTTTTTTATAGCTGAGTAATACTCCATTGTATAAAGATACCACATCTTTTTTATCCATTCCTCTGTTGATGGGCATTTGGCTTGTTTCCAAGATGTAGCTATAACAACTGCTCTGCTATAAACATGGATGCACAAAACTGGAAACCTCAGACCACAGAGGTATCTGTCTTATATTGGCTCAAACACAAGAAAGTTATCTGATCTTCACTGAAGACCCAGACTCTATCCTTTGGCTCTATCATTCTTGATATTTTTTCTCAACCTCATATTGATTGTCTCTAATAACAGAACAGCTGCTTCTCCTCAAAGTATGACATTGGTGCATCTGTGAAATAAGAAAAAAGAGGAAAGGAGGAGGGAGAGACCCTACATTCAGTAACCAAAAGCTTTCCCAGAAATGCACAACTTCTGTTTCATTTGTTATATTGTGTCACTTGACCACCTAGAACTAGAAGAGTATTGCCAAATCTGGAAGAATTAGAATTTTCTTTCCCAAAATGGAAGAAACAGATGCCATGTAGGCATCTCTCAGTGCCTGCCAGACTTACATATAGGTTTATGCATATAGGTTGAGCATTTCTAATCTGAAAATTCAGGATCCAAAATATCCCAGTATCTGAAAGATTAGATTGTCAACAAGAAATCGCACACCTATTCTCAGTGTTACAGGTTCCAATGTGACAAAATAGCGTATAAAATAACTTCCAGGGAATATGCGTAAGATGCATATGAAACAAGTTTCATGTTTATTCTTGAGTCGTATCCTCAAGATACTTCATTATGTATAAGGAAATGTTCCAAAATCTGAAGAAAATCCCAAATCAGAAACATTTCTGGCCCTAAGCATTTCAGATAGTAGATATTCAATCTGTAGTAGAAATTTTCTCAGCTTCTATCACTGCTTGGGCAAACCATTTAAATCAAGTCAAGCAAAAAACTTAAAGACTTTCTGCTCTATATAACACAGACATATAATTGGTGACATGAATGTGCAACTAACCCATATTTCTGTGACATTCTTCCCCGCTCAGTATGACTACTTGACCTTCTCATCAACAGATTGGAGGCATAAATAGTGTATATGTGCCTTGTGTCTGGCCCTCAAGACTCTGACTATGTGCTTCTGCATGTATACCTTCTTTCCCTACTCACAGAATAAAAGCTAGTTCACTCAACCAGCTTCTACCATGCCCAAGAAATGGCACATTTCTAAATGTCCCCTTGGATAAAAGGTATGTCCAAGCCTTGACTGCTGAGCTCAGGCTTGTTAAGAGAAAGAGATAAGAACATTGCTCTACAAGTTACTGCCTTTTTAGTGCCTCTGTTATATGTTTTATCCTCCATAGTATAACTGCTGTCCCAAATATGATTCTTCAAGATGTGAAGATGGCCTTAAATTAAGCTATGTCTGGGTTTATTCATGAGACATTCCAAGCTCCATGAAGTCCTCTTGCCTTGTCTGCTTGATCTTAACCATTTACCCAGGACATTCTCCTTCCTCCAAGCACTGGCTCCATCTTCTCACCTTCGACACAGAGTTCAGATAGGAAAAGGATTATTCTTGTACATTAGCATCAGCTTTTAGACAGCCTGGATTTTACTAACATGAACAATTAGGAGTTAAAGGCATGTATGAACAGACATAGTGGGACAGCTGAAGGAGACCAGGACATGTGAAGGCCACAGTGGAAAATTTTCACCATCTCTCCTCTAGGTCAATGGAGATACTTGTAATTTAACCAAATCTTTTATGTGTTCATTTCTCTAGATCTATACTACTCAAAAAGATATCCAATTTCTTTAGGGATGTAGCTCAGTGGTACAGCACCTGCCTGGCAAGCACAAGGTCTTGAGCTTGATTCCCAGTATATATATACTTTTCATATCTTCTTGGTAAATTTTCCCTTTGTAACTTAATCATTTGCCAACTGAGTAACTGTGCAGAAGCATTTAAACTTTTAGGAATAATAGAGTTGAAAACTGTGCCAATAAGTACTGACATAAAAACAAAAATATTGCGGGCAATGGTTTTTTGTCAAGGCCCTGACTCATTTGGGATTATTCTAGAAAGTGAATCCACTTTTTTTGTGTCTTTTTTTAGACAGGGTCTCGCTATGCAGTTCAGGCTGGCCTTGAACTCACTTTGTAGCTGAGACTGGCCTCAAACTTGCAACGATCCTCCTGCCTCACCCTTCCAAGTCCTGGGATTACAGGCATGCGCCACCACGCCCGGAGGTGAATCCATTTTTGAGTCCATATGGAAGAAAATCAATAGGTTTGAATAGTACTTGTTCATCCTCCTGATTTATCCAGAAGTACAAAACTATAAAGATAAACTGAAGTGTGGCTATGAAAAAGACAAAGAAAGCTATGGTAACTAATAATTGTTAGGGTTCAGATATCTTAAGGTGAAGGTCTTGGACAGAAAGTATCCAGCTTTACCAGCCTGCTGCTTGGTGCAAAGACTACAGGAAAATTATCACCTTCATGATCTTATCTTCCAGATCTGTGGCCACAAACCTATGGCACACATGCCACAGAGGGCTGCTTGTATCATTGAAAGCTCCAAAAAGCTCACCGTCACTATTCTAGATTATCCCAAGGGATTCCCATTTCGATCTCTTGTTCACATAGAAATCTAGGAAATGGATCTGTGATATATTTTTAACTTACAGACAGAAATCCAAAGCTTGATTCCATGAAATTTTATTGCAGTGTTTGTGGTTAATAACTGATCTGGTCCTTTCCAAGAGGGTTTAGAAGAGTCTTAGGTTAGTGTCCTTTACTGTAAACCAAGAATTAAAGTTGAAGCTCATGTAGGAGTTCTTGTGCTGTGCCTGAATTTGTTATAAACATGGGCATACTGCATTAATCCCTTATGATAGTCTACCCTAGTGGGCTGTAAAAGAGCAGTCAAGAATAGGGGATGAGACCCTTGGTTGCATTGGGCCTCCAATGGCCACTTCATATGAGCACAGTTTATGAGCTCCTATTAAAGTGGAGTTAATGACTGTGAGATCTAATGGGAAATTTTTTGGCCACTGCAACTGAATTTCCTCAGATAGATTTATAAGTCTTAGTTGATACTTGCATCACTAAGCATATTGGTAGGTATTGTCAAGTAGAAAACATGAAGGCTAAAGCTTGGCTACTATCAAAAGTTTCTTTATGACAATGATGAAGGCTTGTAGCCCTTCAGAAAACAGAGACAAAGTTTTGCCAACATATTTGTAATGACATCAAATGAATAACTAAATGAAATACATTTGTAGATACATGTGTGGATACACATGTTCCAAGAGACCTAGTTTCTTTGTATACATATGCCATCTTTGCAATTTTTCCAAAATGGCAGGTTTGACAGATGGGAGTGTAGCAAAAATCTCCTATATCAAGTACCAATGTGTTCTTACAAAGGTTATTTATGATGTTTTTAAAATTTTCATAGTAAGTAATACATATGACACTTTCTGAGAGGCATATTTCAATGTCTTGGGGCACACAGGAGATATTTTGGGGCCATATCTATCTAGGATGAGAAAAGAATCTGATCTTTTCCAATACACCTCTTCAAATCAAGTGTTTGATACATAGTTAAATCAAGATCAGATACCAAGTCAGGGGTTAGTTTTGGCTTTGATTCTTGGAATTCTTGGGCAGTCTAGAGGGGTTAAAGCAACTTGTTTATTATAACTATCTGCTAAGGCATTACACTTTGCTTCATGAGTTTGCTTTTTACCATGAGGCTCAAAAGTAATATGACCATTTGCTTTGGAAGAAAGAGAGCATCTAATAGAACTTTTATGTG